TTGCGATGCGTCTAAAAATATTTGACCGAGGTTTCTTACCAGTTCTGGTGATTTCGTCTGCGGTGTATGTTAGCGAGAAAGGATAGATATTGAGCAACTCCGAATTCATCTCCCTGAAATATCGATTTATCATGGACATCTCCTTAGAATTGAATAATGATGACATTCAGGGAGACAAAATATCTTAATCTTGGGTGCTGTTTGCTGTGAATTATCGCAAATTACTGTTAGTTGTCCGGAAAGTTTTCGGCGTTTTGTGTCACTATTTTTGTACATTCATTGTTGATTGAAAACTCATTCTCCCTTGCGTCTCAGTAGTATATCCTGAAGAGAATTCTCTGCGCTATCTGATGTATAATTGCCGTTTCACCATGGGTTTATAAACCCCCTTTTCCCAAGACCTTTCGAAGCATGTCAAAAGAGCAACATCGGACGATATTTTTCTTCAACTACAAATTGGGTTAGCCCGCAATCGAGACAGCCCGACAAATTAGCCAGGTAAGGGAACCTAATCACTTGTGCACCTGTGCTCCCGTTGATCATCGAGCTCCTCGAGCTGGCGCCAGTAACGTCTCCATTCGTCCCTGCAACATGCAAGAGTTGCCCAATGAACTCTCAGCTCGAGGGACACGATTAACTTCATACCATTTGTTCAGAGCTTTCACGAAGAAATCTGACCATCGCGTAGGCGGTCTTCCAGGCGTTCGCTTGACATCCCGTGGAATCCAGCCGGTGATTACTCTGGTCCAGCGGTCGTCCTCGAACGCATGACGTGTCCGGCCCACCTGATCTTCGAAACCTTCGCAATGCGGCCGCGTCTCTGATCTTCGATCGTTGGCGGAGTGCGGAGCTCCGGATTCCCTCTCTCACTTGCGTATAGCGGGAAACTCCGAGCATCGCCCTTTCGATGGCGCGTTGAATAACACCGACCGCATGCTCATCCTGCTTTCGTAGAGTCCAAGTCTCTGAGCGTACGTCAAGGCAGGAAGGACCGCGGAATCGAAGAGGTGGGCTCGTAGCTTGGTGTTCTTCGTCTTCCTCGCTACTCCCTCGATGTTCTTGAAGGCTCCCCAAGCCGCTCGCTTCCTCCTGCTCAGCTCTGGAGCTAGGTCATTCATCATATTGATTTCATGACCGAGGTACACATAGTTAGAGCATTCGGAGATGGTCGTTCCGTTGAGCGTGAATGGGGCATCATGTACCAATCCGTTTCTCATGAACGTCGTCTTGTTAGGTTCAGCCGTAGACCGATTCTTCCACACGCGCAGTCGAATTCAGCATTCGTTCGCTTGCTCGATGTTACGCGTTATCAACACGATGTTTTCAGACAAAAGCGGAGGATGGTGTACGTTGCGCGACCGTCGAGTTTCACCCCATGTCCTTCCCATTCCAGTTGCACGCTGATGTTCTCGAGGTGGGTGAAGAGCTTCGGCGGATGGTGTCGCCCTGTACCGGGACCCCTCTCTTCACATCAATGATGAATCTTCCCTTGTAGATTGGTGAAATTCTTGTCGTGAGTTCGGTAGAGCTCACGAAGAATTCTGACATGTAGACTGAGTAGGAATACCCTGGTTGCAAGCTTCGAATAAGCCGCTTCGCTGTTCAACGGGAGTCGAAGCTTTCTTCAAGATCGATAACACGGTGAGCACAACGGCATCTGTAGCTCTCGCGATACTTCACTGGAGCTTCGTTACCGTGTAGATGTGATCGATCGTGCTGAATCTCTTCGAAAACAACCCTGCTGCTCGCTATGGCTGTCCTTCGTCTAGATTTCTGGTCAATCTACGCGGTTGAGGACTCGTGTGAAGAGTTTTGTAGACTGACAGACAGCAGGCCAGATTGGGCGATGAATTGCCAATGTCGCACAGGTCTCCCTTCTTGACAGCAACAGAGTCTTGGCTGGTTTTCCACGGAGGTGGGTACCTTTGGCATCTCCGACAGAAGGTACGCGCGGTGTGAAAGTCGAGCCAGCGTTTTGACGAGAACGGCTGAAGATTCTTCGATGTTCGGGTCTTGACCCCTGTCGGACGCGGTGCCCGTACGATGTCTTCACCGACGAGATGAAAAGTGGCATCATCCTTTCAGACTTCTTGTACTCTTATCTGAATGAATTATTTTTTAAGCTCATAGGCTGTGTTCTTTTGTATATTTGTCTGTTTGATTGTACGATCCTCATGCCACTGGGTTTTCATCAATCTGCGGCACAGTGGAGTTGGATCACAGCTAAGTCAGCAAAGTGTGGCGGATCTACATAATGCGTATCCGGAGCAGATTCTACAAGAGCATCCATGGACTTGCCAGTGTTGCGGCCCACTGCACTTCTGCTGTTTTGTTGACTACCTCTCACTCCATTGCTTGCAGCAATAGGTCTCGTAATTACCATGAGGTTTTTTCACCTTATCGGAGTTTTTTTTTTCCTCATACACTTATTATTGATCTCGCACCATTGTTAATTAGTTTGCCGATAATAAATCAATAAAATCATAAATCCTACTATTGGGGTATATAATTGGCTATGTCGTGATGTGTGTCTGTGGTGTGCGTCGTCTGTCTGTCACGAAATTCAGTAGCGAGCGTCGCCAGAAAAGAATAGGACGACAGTTCAAGAAGTCATATACACGCAGGACGGAGCATTTTGGTGCGGTGACAGGAGGTCGATAATATTATAAGGAAGCCTTAGAAGGGATAGGTGTGGGAACGAATTCGTGGCAAGTTGTCAAGCAACTGCGGGACCGTGATTTCAGAAGTGATGTGATATAACGGATAGGTGTGAGTGGGCATGATAGGAACTGATTACCATCTAGTTAAATCGGATAAGGGACCCCAGACGTGGTGTCACCAAAATTCTTAGCGCAGGTTGCAAGCGACCGTGGGACCTTGATTTCAAGACGTGGTATAGGGTAAGGGAAGTGGACATGAGTGGTGTGTGACAGAAGCTGATAACATCTGATAAGATTCCATGAGGGGCCTTAGATGCGGAGGATCACCAACTTTGTAGGGCAGGTTGCAGGGTCTGTGGGACCTTGGTTCAAAATAGAGGTATAGGAGGAGGAGGGCGGGAACGCACTGACGGGTGACACTAAGTGACAGCAACTGATAAGGGTTGAAAGCGTCATCATGCGAGAATCCGCAACATCGCTTACTGCAACAATGCGATTGATATGACAAGTATCAGGCTCTCAGTAGTTCGTGCACAACTCACTCCTATGCTCTTACCGCTATCAACATCATGTGCCGCTAAAGCAACTGGAGTTCAGATGTATGACGGTTGTTTATTCAGTTGCCATGAGCTGCAGCACCTAACTTTATCAATATGACCATGACTATCTTCCATTAACAAGCCGAGAGAGGACCATTCGAAGCCAAGACTGCCGAATGCTGGAGTGCATTCCAGAAAAAACCCTACAGTGGTGGAGAACGCATTGAGCGGTAGGATGCTTTGGAGGCTGCTCTTACAGGTCACTAAATTTTCGTGTGAGGATTATGGAGATTTTTGGTACTAAATCCGAGAAAAGAATGGACAAAAGGATAGATTTAGGCATTACATTGGGACAACGGTTACAATTCTACCATAATCGATTATGTCCGTGCGTGTGCGTCTGTCTCTTTGAAACACATTCATAGCGCCGGTCCCAGTAGCAGCGAGATATCGGTTCCAAGAAGTGAGTAGAGAGTGTGACGAAAACACTATTGGTGGGTGATAGGAAGTGAAGTTGATCAGTAGATAATATCTGATAAGAGGCCCCAGAATGGAACTCCCACCATATTCGTAATGCGAGTCACAGCATCAGCCAGGTGTTGATTCCAACATATGATTTAGGGTATGGGAAAGGAACATTGTTGGTGGATGACAAGAACTGTCAGCTGCTCATAAGATTCGAGGGATGTTAGAAGGGTATGGTCACTGAGTCCATCACGCGAGTCACAGCAACAGTAGGAGGTTGGTTCCAAGATACGATGTAGGGTTTAGGAAAGGAACACTAGGTTGGTGACAAAAGCTGCCAGCATCTGATAAGATTGGATAAGGGGCGTTAGGCTCTTTCTTTTGATGTCATTAGAATTTCGGAAGTAACAAAGCGCTGCATATGCACGATCCTCTCGCCTGATTTAACTTCGACCCTTTGCTCGAGTTATTTTCAATTATTTTTCTACATTATGCTGGGGAAATGCATTGTGACTGTTCGCGTATTTTGCACACTCTACCCCTCGAATGAGTGCCTGGCGAAGCCAGGCTGGCCCGGCGAAGCCGGGCCGTGGCGAAGAAAGAGGAGCACCCGGCGGCGGCCGGGTGATCCGACTGGTGTATGATAACAGGAAACGTTCCAGACAGTGGTTAGATGCCGACGAACCACCGATGCAATTTCCAAAGCCGAGTCCTCACGAAAAAAGATTATGGTCACAGTGTGGTTTCCATCGGCTGGTGTGATCCACAAAACTTTTTTTCACCAGGACAAACCATCACAGCAGAGTCCTACTGTGGAGAAATCGACGAAAAGTACCGAAAATTGCGTCAGCTGCAGCCGGCGCTTGTCAACAGAAAGGATCCGATTCTTTTGCATGACAACGCCAAGGCCACACGTTTCACAAATCGCTATCCACAAATTGAACGAATTGGGGGTTGAAGTTCTACCACCCCACCATATTCTCCAGACCTTTCACCAACCGACTATCACATTTTGAAACATTCTCAGAACTTTCTTGCTGGAAGACACTTCACCATTCAGGACTAAGCAAAAGAAGCCTTCGTAAATTCTCGACCACACAGTTTTTTTTTGATAGGGTTCATTGACGGGTATCACATTGACAACAGTGTGCTGATTCGAACGGTGCTTATTTCGAATAAATCCGATGAGTATTAAGAATGTTATAATCGTTTAAAGTGGAACACTCAAATGCTGAGAACTTTCCGGATAACCTGAAAGATGAAGGCGCTTGCTTACCTGAAACTAACCCATCAACGAGGCAAAGGCTTTTATGAAAGCACCCGTATTTTTCGAAACTCAGTCTTTAAGCACGAATCGAGAGGCGATCACGCTTGGAAATGTCCAAACCCACTTGTCAAGATAAGTCGATACTCGTCGTTCATATCTCTGCGTATCAAACTTTGTCCAATTCGAGAGCCGATTCGCTCGTAGTTGGAAGCCGACAACTTTTAAAAACTCTATTGTGCCATCCGTGCTATTCGTTCTGACACCGAAAAGGTTTGGACTGAGGTCAAGTTTCTCTCCAAGGACATACATAGTAGGGAAAGTAATTGAAATACGTTCCTGCATAGAGTCCGAGCTGGCCTTCATCGCCAAGGCGTTCTGGAAAAGCTTAGTTCTGGTTTGAATATCATGAAGATGACAAACTTCATTTCCTAGCTAGATTTCTTAGTACGTTACTCAAAGCTCGAGATATTTACCAAACCAGATTCACATTGAAACTGAAGCAATACAAAAGAAAAGGTAACATAGCACCCAAAAAATAATCAATATCCCCGTTTCTTTTTTTGCTTAAAGAATAGCTACTAGATGATTCGTTCTCGACTTGATCACCTAATATACTTGAAGGGCTCCATATCTCTTCTCAATACCAAGTGTGCTTCCATCGGGATTCGGAGGAAATGACGCTTGCTGGCCTTGGACATTCGAGCACTGTGCTCCTGTTGACGGGCATTGAAGAATGAACCTATCACTGCACAACCTTTGCTTTATACACAGTACATAATAAGAAATGGAGGAAAATGCCACGTAACCCCCTCAGAACAGGGTTTGCTAAGACCCCTCGGTTTCAACAAGGTCTGCTATAAAATGCTGCAGTTCAGTATAGGGGCACCCCCAGAAGCGGCTCTTCTGAGACGGGGCGAAATTTTGCCTTGCCATAACTTGCTTTCTGGTTTATTGATATCAACATGTTCTAAACAATATAGCGGTAGCCCAGCTTCATAAACCCAGAAGTTCTAAGCATTTAAATCCATGATTTTGAAGAGCTGTGTATTGAGTTGCTGGTGAGCTATGAAAGACAGTGTGCGCCATGAACGATTTGGTATCCCAGTTCTAAGCTGAAGTTTACTGTCAAAACTCTCAAAGTTGTTTTTCCTATAAATGAACCCTTTCGAACACCTTGGGCTATTGACTGCCCGCAAAGGTGCACCATTGTCTGACATCTAGTTTAGCGCATCCACTACTTCTGACTGAACGCTCAAATGTTGAATGCTCTATTTTCTCGAATAACCTTGCTTGTGTGGAGAATTAGCATAAGTGAACCGTCTAGGAATGTGACTGGGTGCAACTCACATAGAATTGTCGAATTGGTTCATTGATGAGACAGAAGTCAGAGCAGAGCGTGTCGAATGATTGTCCGTCGTAAGTGACATTGTTGCTGACATAGTCAAGCTGCTTCACTGCTTCTTTCATGTGGTCTAGGCGTGCCATTGAACCTCCATCTTTAGCGACCACCATTGCGAACACCAAGATAGGATCGCCTTGTGACTCGAAATAATCGGCGTACACGGCAATTTCAGACCGTGACCGAGCTCCATCTGGCGTATAACCTGAACTGACTCAACAACTGGTAGGGAAACTATGTACAGGTGACCCCGAAATTATAGTGTCCGACACGCCCCACATCACAATGTAATGTTTCGTAATAGAATGTCATAGTAATGTTTTGCAAAGTACTTAAAGGGGGAACATCAGTTGAATTCATGCACAAATTCACTCACATTATATATAGCAAAGTAGCAATCAAAATTTAAAATGACCCCCCTGAAACAATTGCAACCGACACGATCTATGCGAATCCTCTCGTGGAGAAACTTGGTTAGTTAATTGATTGTGATTGCAAAGCACCACGACACAAGCGTTTTGTGATCCATTGCAAGCATATGCTCTGCAAGCATATGCTCAGTTACCATATGGTAGCTGCAGTCCCTTTTCAAAGTAATCGCCCCACTTGCTTCCTCCAACATATGTGAGAAACTACTACCAGTCTCTTAACCCATTCGATGTCCGCTACTGGTGGTGGACACCGAAATGTCCACTTCGGATCATGTCCACCATATGTGGCAGACGGGCTTTCGATGATATTTTCAGAAACATTTCGAATTCTTCGAGGAGCTTTTCCCAGTAGTACAAGTCTTCATACCTTTGACAGTTCATGCCAATAGTGGACCAACGAAGTCTTCAGATACAAGGGTCCTGACGACAATGTCGTCCTACAGAGGAGAGAGTTTCCTTAAGAACAGATTAATTCACATGTTCTTCTTACTATGTATTATGTATGAATCACTTCGACTACACTTATAGCTAATCGATGAGCGATTGAGGAATGTTAGCAAGAAAAGGCGTTGGAAGTCGGATGGACAAAAAGGAGATGGTATATGAGCAGCAGATGGCCTAGCTGCAGACGTTTGGCGGCTCTTCACGTCTTCTGACACTTCATCCGACGACGACGTCTTCCTGTCTTCACTTAGTCACCTTGTGCCTTGTATGAGGTTGACTTGCCCCTTTCTTACTGTTTCTCCATATCCTAACATTATCCTCATTCTTATGTTGTAGTTACTTTAGCTTTAACATTGTCCTGAATTTCCCTTGATGAACATGAACTCTTAATAGATATTAGAATGTGATGACCTTTCTATAGTGCCTCTTCGTTCGCGACTTGCTCTCTCTCGATATATATACATTCTTTTAATCATAGCTTGATATTTCACTTATCATACATATCGCTTGATGATTACATTTGATGTATATATTCTCTAGTATTTTACATAGTTTAGAATATTAGGATAAAGTTTAATTACCCAAGTTTGAGGTAGTCTTCTCAAGTGGTCAAACCCGCGTGGCATACTTATCTAGTTGCGCAGTAGTACAAAAAGGCCACAGCGGAGCGGCGATAGCAAAGACGGGCTGAAGAGTTCCCTATTTGAAAATACCCTGCACAACACGGTTGCGGTAGAAAAGACCTCTTCCAGCGACATCAGAAGGGCGGAATTCAGCAATGTTCAGAGACTGGTAGCACATAGTCCCAGATTCATTTAAAAGACTGGTCATCAAGGGTGAGACGAAGATAACAAAAACCCATCCCGCTTTCTCCTCCTTGGCTAGAGCATGTCAAACAGGAGATAAAGCAGTACCCAGTGGAACAGAAAATGAAGAATGCTACCTTGATGTGGTGAAACAACATCAGCTCTCCTACCTGGATCACACTATTTGGAGTCATCTCAAACACCTCAATATCTACGAAGATGAACTAGGCATTTTTCGCTGTCGCAAAAAGATTGGAAAAAGCACAATGGAAAACTCGACGAAGTTTCCGCATGCTCATCCTCCAAAAAACGTGCTGTCACAATGATAATTAAAGACTCTCACAAGACCGTCCACTTCAGTATTGACCATACCATGGCTCGAGTGAGAGAACACTACTGTAACCAACATTACGAGCAGAAGTAACGGGCGACCATATGAAAGTGTGTGGAATGCCAGAAATTCAACAACCTGCCGTTTAAGTACCCAGATCAAGGAGATCTGCCGACGCGTAGGTGACACGGTCCCCTCTTTGCGCATGTCGGGCTCGACTACATTGGACCACTCTCTAACTTGTCTAGTCCTAAACTAGTACACCTGGATTTAGTGTTAGCACCTGGACGTCTCCACACTTGCATTTTTGCAAATGCTTTGAGATTTTTCGCAAGAAGAGGCGTACCCGCTCACTATAACGAGTGACAATGCGCCTACCTTCATGCTAGGAGATAACAATATTGACAGAGCCATTTAGACAAGTGACCACCCGGACCCCGGAGTAATGGCAGAGTGCAGCAAGCGCCAAATATGACCGGATATACATCACCCCTATGCAACCATGGCAGGGGAGGAGTATACGAACGACTCATCAAACCAGTTAAAATTTCGATGTATAAGTCGCTGCATGAGCAGACCCCGTCCGGAGAAGAGCTCAACCGCTGATTATCGAAACTGAGGCGATGCTTAACACTCGACCACTTCTCTATGTAGAAGAGGATTCGGGCACTGATCGTATGCTTCGGACGCGATCGACTTTTTACAAAGATGGGTTCGAAATACCAACCACCACTAGGGCAGGAGACGATCCCAGTGACGACCCTGAGTATATGGTCCAGCAGAACGGCGTCGTTGCAGACTAAATCTCAGTACTAAGGCTCTACAGAGCTCCTGTGCAATAACAGAAAAAGTTTTGGCAGGTCTGGCAATCCAGTACGCTAACGGCTCTGCGGGAAAAACACCAAGTCGAAGTAGCACACAAACGTGGCTCCCGCAATAAGCCTAAAAAAGGACAGATCGTTTTAATTTTGGAAGCCTTGCAATCCTAAAGCATTTCTGTAGAATGGGCGCGCATACATGAATGATAAACAAATAATGAAAGAGTAGTCCAGAGAGGCAGTGATATTTGCTTCCTTCACATAGAACGATTAGAAGACCTTTGAATCTTCTTGTGCTGTCTTGAGTTAGACAGTGAAAAAGAAATTTCAGAGGAGGAGCACGATTCAGGCACGGCAGCAGAGGAAGACTCAATGGCTAATACTGGTCAATCTATGAGAAATCAACATTCTAGTAGACGGACCCAGCAGTACGACCTCCGGCCACGTCAAAAGAATTGACTTATAGAAAACTGATAACTTCCATTTACGTGTCACGGGAAACCATGCATTATGACCGGCTCGCTCTGATGATATCAGTCAATCACAGCACTGACGGGCCAGGGAGGAAAGAACACCGCACCACGATAAAGGTATTAAGTGCATTCAAGGCGGGGTGGAGCTGACAACCTCACTCAGTTACCACATGTAAAATTTGTGCGGAAGACTATGTCAACGAATCGATCATCCTCTCTCTTAGAAATCATTCGTTTTCCGGCTCACATCATTCTTCACGACCATGGTATACAGTGGAAGTAATGACAAACCACAATGGAAGACTATTGAAACAATGTGTCCAGCAGCAACATTTTGTGAGAATGTCGACTGTATTCTGTGCTCAACGCTGCTGTTTAATCCAGAGTGTTGCCCATAGAGCGATAGCAACTGACGCCAACTATCATCTACTTCATCGTGACCGGTTCCTATGTTTTTCTATACGTACCCTTGGTCGTAGGACGACCAAATAAGGGGGAGTGGGCAACTGTATCCGTAGAAGAGTCCAATGGATACTAGCTAAAATATAGCGTCTACTGACATTCTCTCACGTAGGAAAAGAGTAGATTTCGCCATACTATTAGCAATAGTGACCACTATCGTATGCCTGATTCCAACTACTTGGGGCTTGCCAACTAGTAGATGTCCTCTCTCACCAGACTACGGTATGTACCACTGCCCAGGACAAGCACTGTAAGGTAAGGCTGTCGGAGGTATTGAAGATAAACCCCTTTCAAAAGGAAGCTTACCTCTGACTCACTCGAAACCCCACCACTTTGTATGACGTCCGGGTACGTTGAGAACTCTCACTTTTTTCATTGAGCGACCGACCGACTACTTTTACTCGGGACACAGAATATAGAGTAATTGATAGCAAGAGATGTCCCCGTACTGGATCATGAGTAGGTGATAAATGCGCTAACATCAATGGATCCAGCGTCATTCCTGAGCCTAGCAATAGGAAATAACTATCCAGGACTACATACTGCGTGCAATCATGCGGTGGACCGGGATGCGACTGCTTCTATTGGAGCTCAAGCTGGCCTTTTCTACGCGCGTCTATGCAGTTCCTACATCAAACAATATTTTTGAGTTATTCCATTGTGCACGATGAAACAATCAGCGAATATTGAAGTGACGTTCGTGCGATCACGTACGTAACGAAAAAAGACATGGGCACCCAGCTTACACCGAATGTACGGTACCTGCAATGCACTCACTTTTACCCTGGGTTCCATTACGGTCCACACACTCTCTCTTGAACATCCCCTTCGTCACAGATGGTAACGAGACAGCGATGTGGGACTCGCGAGTAAAAACCCAGCCCTAGTATGTGACACTTCCGAAGCAGCCTCCGACCCTTGACTGCAAGATCAGAGAGCACTGTACATGCTATCCAGCTAAAACAAAACAAACTGCAAATGCAAAGACGTCAGCATTCCAGCTGGTTTGAAAATCTGCAAAATCGAATTACCAGCACGAACACCAGCAGAGGTCATTTTTAAACGAGACGCCTGATAAGTGAGATTCAGGTCACCATCCGACAATGACAACGTCGGAGATTTATTCTGACAGTGCAAGCCGAGTTTCACACCAACATTCTAGTAGATGATACAATTTGTACTGTTCGGAAGCGCCCCTAGTGGGATGCTATAAATGCGCACGCGGGGCAAAAGCAAACGTTACGTGCACATCATCAAAATTGACTCGGCAGAAATCCAGTGTGAGATTTTAGCTTCACCTGTGAAATGTGATGAACTGGTGTCACTTCCCTCTTGCAATTCAGTTTCAACCAAAGCGCGCATAGGGATGACTTGCCCGTTTCAAGTGGTAGTGTCTCCACAAAATTCGAAGTCGGGGGTGTACTCAAATTTACTCATTCTGTAAGAGCACTGATTCATCATGGATACACGGTGATTCATTGGAAAAAAGTGAAGTTCAATGGCCAGATATTTCCACATCTTAGACGTGTTCCTGCAATGGTACATAAACGTTACATTATAGCAGTAGGAAGGCCAGTCGTTCTGGCATATGCGCATTACCCACTTGCCATACAAGCATGTGGCTACAAGGTGCTAACTTATATGGGACGACTTCCATTTCGTCTTTTCAAACTATTTGTTCGTATGTGCTGCCTTCTCTCACCACATATCATCAAAAGAAAATACACGGGCACGGGAAATTACTCTAGTAATAGCGTTGACATGCAACTGATATTCATGAGGCAACTAGTAGATGTCATTTACAACTTGCACCATTTTTAGCACTTTGCAGCAAGATTCCATGTTCTATTGTGGCAACCATAACGTCATTGATTCCTTTCCAGAATGTATACCATCAATCGTGATGGCTGTTGACTTCCTGAACAGCATGGCCACATTCTCTACCAGAGCCAATGAGTACCTCGTCAGAGAAATTAAGAGGCACCCGGGATGAGTTCGAAGATAACATCAGCAAGACGAAGGCTCTGGAAAAAGAGTGCCAAGACATGAAGTGGGATTCGAATACCACAAAGCAGGGGCGGGACAAAGTTCATGAAACTGTCTGCAATACGTGCTGAGGCTATGACAACGCAAATGCAGATATCATCAGGGTCTTGGAAACAGATTTGCCCTGACGGAGATCCTTCTCAGGATCGTGTAAAAAGAAGGGATCACCAGAATCTCATGAGAAAATTCTGGGTATCATATCCAGAACTCAGAAGTACGGCAGCAAAATAACTTCCATAACTCACTAAATGGAAAGGCGAGTTAGGACAAGCCGGAAGAAGATCTGCAGAAAGGACCGTGCGTAGCCGACATCGACAAATAACGGCATTATTCAAGAAGACACTTGCACACTCCAGAAGACGGTCGAACAGCACAGTGCGGACTTGGCCCTTCTCTAAAGTAAGGCGCGTCAAGAACCCCACTCCTAAGGTAGAACCCCAAGCGACATCCCTCAGATGACCAGCAATTTTGAGAAGATGTTAGCAGAAGTGAAAACACCTCAGCAAGCACCTGAATTGGTATCTGACATTTCGACGAAAACGAAGACACGGCTAATACTCCAAGAGACGAAGAACTGGAGCGTCTCCAAGAGAAAAAAGCTATTCAGGAGAAACATGTAGAGGCATTGCACAATCCTCGTAAAAAAAGTTCCCCTACAGGAATTTCGACGCAGGGCTAAATCAGCAAACAAAACAACCATGCGTGTTCTGTAACGGAGACCATTATTATGACCTGTACAACGCCTAAAAGACGGCGATGAGAGATGGGAGTATGCATGGGACAACGGACTATGCAAAACATGCTCGATCCTGACTGCGAGGGAGAAAGATCCGATGCCCTCACTCACAGGCAGTGTTATTACTGCACTCGCGTCAAAGGAATCCCTTTGGCTGACATGATCTTCATTCTGAACCATCACTCTGCTCTGCACAATTCCGGACAGCAAGAGACAGGCAAGGAGAGCACTCGAAGACCCACGAGAGGAACTGAAGAAGATCGACCATGCCATAGCTAGTAGCCTGAAGGAGAAGAAGATGCCGCGGCGGAGTGCTCCAGCAGCAACCCTTCAGTTAATCCATAAAGGGAAGCCGATTCCTCCTACTAAAGAGATACAGGAACCCAAAGTGAATCAGTTAGATTCCAGTAAAAAGAACCTGGCGAAACAAGAAGCTTTCTTACCGATTGGTGAACTTACCGTAATGGATGGTGAAACACGTAAACTGAAAAAGGTGACAGTACTTATGGATTCCGGTGCCGAATGTTCCTTTATTGACACCACTTTGGCAGAAGAACTCCACTTACCGACAATAGGTACTACCACCCTTCGGGTACGGACCTCCGGCTCAGATGACGTCATCGAGAGCGCGAGTCGAAAGGTACCACTGGACACATGGGATGAGATTGGTGACCCTCATAGGTTGGAGTTATTCACTCATGACATTTTGACGAGTGAATTTAAGACGGCTCCCGTACTACCAGAAGATATCGAGTTCCTAAGATCACTTCAATCCCCAACCAACTTGGCAAAAGAGCAAAAGATCACCAAACCTCTAGTTTTGTTAGGATGTGATCAGATTTGGCAACTTATTAGACAAGACCAGACTCACATCCGTCTACCCTCTGGCTTACATCTGCTACCGACACGTATCGGACACCTATTGACAGGGCGGCTTCACAACGCCTGCCAAGTGACACCACTATTGAAGAAAGACGATAGTTTGCGGGAATGGGACGAGTGCTGGTCCCTTGAATCAAAAGTGACTATGTTTTCCGTGAAAAACTCCTCAGACTCTCATAATGAAGAGCAACTCTGGAAGCAGTATTGGACCATGGAAAAAGAGGAACAGAGGAATTTACCTCAACAGAAAAAGAGGTACAATCCACAATTGATAAAGCAGTGTGGCAGAATTTCCTGGACACACTGAAAGAAGACTGGACGGCTACTATGTAAGACTTCCATGGAAGGGACTAGTTGTCCCACTGCCTGACAATAGAGCCATTGCAATGAAACGCCTTATAAGCGTTTAGAATTCCTTCAAAAGATGAAGAGCTCCTAGAAAATTATAACGGTATATTCCAAGAGCAAGAACGCTTGGGCATCATTGAGCAAGTAGATGAACACGAACTAGTAGACGGGAAAATCCATTACTTACCACATCAGGCAGTCCTATCTCCGCAAAAGGCTACCACCAAGCTTCGTATTGTTTTTGATGCTTCGGCTCATTACAAAAACTCTCCATCTTTGAATGATGCCTTATACAGAGGACCGGTTATCCTACCGAAATTGTACGGGCTTCTTGCGTTTCAGAATTGGACGCATAGCATTGATCTCAGACGTCGAAAAGCTTTTTTTACAAGTAAGATTCCATCTAGTAGACAGAGATGCTACCCGCTGTTTGTGGTTACGTAATTACAGGAGCCCTCCAACCACGATAACTTGGTAGTCTACAGGTTCACATGTGTCACGTTCGGCTTGCTACCGTCTCCATTCCTACTTGCTGCAGCAACCCAATTTCACCTTGATCACTACCCTAGTGACAACGATATAGTACAACAGGTCAAAGCTAATCTGTACGTCGATAATCTACTCCTCACTACAGACACCCTAGTAGAAGCTACTAGAGCTTACACCACAGCGAAGAGGATTTTCGACGACCTACATATGAACCTGAGAGCGTTCGCCTCTAATAGTTCAGAAGTCATGGAGACCATTGAGGTGGCGGATAGATCCTCAGATGAAGATCCCAAGGTGCAATTCAGTGGATGGTTCACGGAGACCAATTAGAAATAAACTGCAAAGCACCTGAATGCGAACAGGTTACTAAGCGGGCAGTGGCAAGCTCCTTGGCATCCATATACGACTCCATGGGTTGGGTCTTACCATTACTCCACACGGCAAAAATCTTTCTACAGTCACTATGGAAAGATGGACTAGAATGGGATACACCGCTCCCGGAAACCCGAAGAACTGAGTGGTTATCAATCTTGAATAACATCCATGGATTCCGGAAGATGATACTCGATGTATCACAAATAAAACATCATATGTTCAGGTGGTCACATGTCCAGCATGGAAGCCTGTGCAGCATGCACTTACATGTGTACGGAAAATTCAGCAAGTCTCATGATGGCCAAAGGGAAATAGCAGAGCTTGGAATCGAAAATGACCATCTCAAAAATGGAATTGAACGCAATGGCCATGAGACTAAAGAATTCGGTAATAATACAAATTTGTAGTGTAGTATCCATAGACGCCGTTCTGATTCTCACGGATTCGGAAATAGCGTTGAACTGGGTGAAAAGGGAAACCAAGCAGGACAGTGGCCCATTCCTTAAGAATCGAGTAGAAGAGATCCACAGGAATTTGGAGCACTGGCAACAGAACCAATATTTGGTGCAGCTGGGACACATTTCCTCCCTACAGAACCCAGCAGATTGCGCCACCCGAGGACTGGATAAATTCCATCTGAATGACCATTTCTGGTGGACAGGCCCAGCATTTCTCAGTGAGCCAAAGAAAGAATGGAAGAAGGCTTTCAAGCTAATAGATGTTACCAAAAGCACAGCGGAGCGCGATAGCAAAGACGGGCTGAAGAGTTCCCTATTTGAAAATACCCTGCACAACACGGTTGCGCGTAGAAAAGACCTCTTCCAGGACATCAGAAGGGCGGAATTCAGCAATGTTCAGAGACTGGTAGCACATAGTCTCAGATTCATTAAAAGACTGGTCATCAGGGTGAGACAGAAGATACAAAAACCCATCCCGCTTTCTCCCTTGCTAGAGCATGTCAAACAGGAGATAAAGCAGTACCCAGTGGAACAGAAATGAAGAATGCTACCTTGATGTTGGTGAAACAACATCAGCTCTCCTACCTGGATCACACTATTTTGAGTCATCTCAAACACCTCAATAGCTACGAAGATGAACTAGGCATTTTTCGCTGTCGCAAAAAGATTGGGAAAAAGCACAATGGAAAACTCGACGAAGTTTCCCATGCTCATCCTCCAAAAAACGTGGCTGTCACAAATGATAATTAAAGACTCTCACAAGACCTCCACTTCAGTATTGACCATACCATGGCTCGAGTGAGAGAACACTACTGTATACCAAAATTACGAGCAGAAGTAACGGCGACCATATGAAAGTGTGTGGAATGCCAGAAATTCAACAACCTGCCGTTTAAGTACCCAGATCAAGGAGATCTGCCGACGCGTAGGGTGACACGGTCCCGCCTCTTTGCGCATGTCGGGCTCGACTACATTGGACCACTCTCTAACTTGTCTAGTCACTAAACTAGTACACCTGGATTTAGTGTACACCTGGACGTCTCCACACTTGCATTTTTGCAAATGCTTCGGAGATTTTTCGCAAGAAGAGGCGAACCGCTCACTATAACGAGTGACAATGCGCCTACCTTCATGCTAGGAGATACAATATTGACAGAGCCATTTAGACAAGTGACCACGGACCCCGGAGTAATGGCAGAGTGCAGCAAGCGCTATATTGACCGGATATACATCACCCCCTATGCACCATGGCAGGGAGGAGTATACGAACGACTCATCAAACCAGTTAAAATTTCGATGTATAAGTCGCTGCATGAACAGACCCCGTCCCGAGAAGAGCTTCAAACCTGATTATCGAAACTGAGGCGATGATTAACAGCTAGCGAAGAAGAGGCGTACCGCTCACTATAACGAGTGACAATGCGCCTACCTTCATGCTAGGAGATACAATATGACAGAGCCATTTAGACAAGTGACCACGGACCCCGGAGTAATGGCAGAGTGCAGCAAGCGCCATATTGACCGGATATACATCACCCCCTATGCACCATGGCAGGGAGGAGTATACGAACGACTCATCAAACCAGTTAAAATTTCGATGTATAAGTCGCTGCATGAACAGACCCCGTCCCGAGAAGAGCTTCAAACCTGATTATCGAAACTGAGGCGATGCTTAACACTCGACCACTTCTCTATGTAGAAGAGGATTCGGGCACTGATCGTATGCTTCGACCGATCGACTTTTTACAAGATGGGTTCGAAATACCACCACCACTAGGGCAGGGAGACGATCCCAGTGACGACCCTGAGTATATGGGTCCAGCAGAACGGCTGTCGTTGCAGACTAAATCTCAGGTACTAAGGCTCTACAGAGCTCCTGTGCAATAACAGAAAAGTTTTGGCAGGTCTGGCAATCCCAGTACCTAACGGCTCTGCGGGAAAAGCACCAAGTCGAAGTAGCACACAAACGTGGCTCCCGCAATAAGCCTAAAAAAGGACAGATCGTTTTAATTTTGGAAGCCTTGCAACCAAGACATTTCTGTAGAATGGGGCGCATACATGAAATGATAACAAATAATGAAAGAGTAGTCAGAGAGGCAGTGATATTGCTTCCTTCACATAGAACGATTAGAAGACCTTTGAATCTTCTTGTGCGTCTTGAGTTAGACAGTGAAAAAGAAATTTCAGAGGAGGAGCACGATTCAGGCACGGCAGCAGAGGAAGACTCAATGGCTAATACTGGTCAATCTATGAGAAATCAACATTCTAGTAGACGGACCCAGCAGTACGACCTCCGGCCACGTCAAAGAATTGACTATAGAAAACTGATAACTTCCCATTTACGTGTCACGGGAACCATGCTAGTTATGACCGTGCTCGCTCTGATGAATATCAGCTCAATCACAGCACTACCGCCAGGGAGCAAAGACACCACCCACGATAAAGGTATTAAGTGCATTCAAGGCGGGGTGGAGCTGACAACCTTCACTCAGTTACCACATGAAATTTGTGCGGAAGACTACTGTCAACGAATCGATCATCCTCTCTCTTAGAAATCATTCGTTTTCCGGCTCACATCATTCTTCACGACCATGGTATACAGTGGAAGTAATGACAATACCACATGGAAGACTATTGAAACAATGTGTCCAGCAGCAACATTTTGTGAGAATGTCGACTGTATTCTGTGCTCAACGCTGCTGTTTAATCCAGAGTGTTGGCCCATAGGAGCGATAGCACTGACCGCAACTATCATCTACTTCATCGTGACCGGTTCCTATGTTTTTCTATACGTACCCTTGGTCGTAGGACGACCAATAAGGGGGAGTGGGCAACTGTATCCGTAGAAGAGTCCAATGGATACTAGCTAAAATATAGCGTCTACTGACATTCTCTTCACGTAGGAAAAGAGTAGATTTCGCCATACTATTAGCAATAGTGACCACTATCGTATGTCTGATTCCAACTACTTGGGCTTGCCAACTAGTAGATGTCCTCTCTCACCAGACTACGGTATGTACCACTGCCCAGGACAAGCACTGTAAGGTAAGGCTGTCGGAGGTATTGAAGATAAACCCCTTCAAAAGGGAAGCTTACCTCTGACTCCCTCGAAACTCCACCACTTTGTATGACGTCCGGGTACGTTGGAGAACTCTCACTCTTTCATGTGAGCGACAGACCGACTACTTTACTCGGGACACAGAATATAGAGTAATTGATAGCAAGAGATGTCCCCGTACTGGATCATGAGTAGGTGATAAATGCGCTAACATCAATGGATCCAGCGTCATTCCTGAGCTAGCAATAGGAAATAACTATCCAGGGACTACCTACTGCGTGCAATCATGCGGTGGACCGGGATGCGACTGCTTCTATTGGAGCTCAAGCTGCCTTTTCTACCGCGTCTATGCAGTTCCTACATCAAACAATATTTTTGAGTTATTCCATTGTGCACGATGGAAACAATCAGCAAATATTGAAGTGACGTTCGTCGATCACGTACGTAACGAAAAAAGGACATGGGGCACCCAGCTTACACCGAATGTACCGGTGACCTGCAATGCACTCACTTTTACCCTGGGTTCCATTACGGTTCCACCCACTCTCTCTTGAACATCCCCTTCGTCACAGATGGTAACGAGACAGCGATGTGGGACTCGCGAGTAAACCCAGCCCTAGTATGTGACACTTCCGAAGCAGCCTCCGACCTTGACTGCAAGATCAGAGAGCACTGTACATGCTATCCAGCTAAAACAAAAGCAAACTGCAAATGCAAAGACGTCAGCATTACCAGCTGGTTTGAAAATCTGCAAAATCGATTACCAGCACGAACACCAGCAGGGTCATTTAAACGAGACCCTGATAGTGAGATTCAGGTCACCATCCCGACAATGACAACGTCGGAGATTATTCTGACAGTGCAAGACGAGTTTCACACCAACATTCTAGTAGATGATACAATTTGTACTGTTCCGAAGCGCCCCTAGTGGGATGCTATAAATGCGCACGCGGGGCAAAAGCAAACGTTACGTGCACATCATCAAAATTGACTCAGGCAGAAATCCAGTGTGAAGATTTTAGCTTCACTGTGAAATGTGATGAACATGGTGTCAATTCCCTCTTGCAATTCAGTTTCACCAAAGCGCGCATAGGGATGACTTGCTCCGTTTCAAGTGGTAGTGTCTCCACAAAATTCGAAGTCGGGGGTGTACTCAAATTTACTCATTCTGTAAGAGCACTGATGTCATCATGGATACACGGTGATTCATTGGAAAAAAGTGAAGTTCAATGGCCAGATATTTTCCACATCTTAGACGTGTTCCTGCAATGGTACAAAACGTTACTTATAGCAGTAGGAGCAGTCGTTCTGGCAATTGGCATTACCCACTTGGCCATACAAGCATGTGGCTACAAGGTGCTAACTTATATGGGACGACTTCCATTTCGTCTTTTCAAACTATATGTTCGTATGTGCTGCCTTCTCTCACCACATATCATCAAAAGAAAATACACGGCGCACGGGAAATTACTCTAGTAATAGCGTTGACATGCAACTTATATTCATGAGGCAACTAGTAGATGTCAGTTACAACTTGCACATTTTTAGCACTTTGCAGCAAGATTCCATGTTCTATTGTGGCAACCATAACGTCATTGAATTCCTTTCCAGAATGTATACCATCAATCGTGATGGCTGTGACTTCCTGAACAGCATGGCCACATTCTCTACCAGAGCCAATGAGTACCTCGTCAGAGAATTAAGAGGCACCCGGGATGAGTTCGAAGATAACATCAGCAAGACGAAGGCTCTGGAAAAAGAGTGGCAAGACATGAAGTGGGATTCGAATACCACAAGAGCAGCGGCGGGGACAAAGTTCATGAAACTGTCTGCAATACGTGCTGAGGCTATGACAACGCAAATGCAGATATCATCAGGTCTTGGAAACAGATTTGCCCTGACGGAGATCCTTCTCAGGATCGTGTAAGAAGAAGGGATCACCAGAATCTCCATGAGAAAATTCTGGGTATCATATCCAGAACTCAGAAGTACGGCAGCAAAATAACTTCCATACTCCACTAAATGGAAAGCGAGTTAGGACAAGCCGGAACAGATCTGCAGAAAGGACCGTGCGTAGCCGACATCGAACAAATAACGGCATTATTCAAGAAGACACTTGGCACACTCCAGAAGACGGTCGAACAGCACAGTGCGGACTTGGCCCTTCTCAAAGTTAAGGCGCGTCAAGAACCCACTCCTAAGGTAGAACCCCAAAGCGACATCCTCTCAGATGACCAGCATTTTGAGAAGATGTTAGCAGAAGTGAAAACACCTCAGCAAGCACCTGAATTGGTATCTGACATTTTCGACGAAAACGAAGACACGGCTAATACTCCAAGAGACGAAGAACTGGAGCGTCTCCAAGAGAAAAAAGCTATTCAGGAGAAACATGTAGAGGAATTGCACAACCTCGTAAAAAAGTTCCCCTACAGGAATTTCGACCAGGGCAAATCAGCAAACAAACAACCATGCGTGTTCTGTAACGGAGACCATTATTATGACCTGTACAACGCTAAAAGACGGCGATGAGAGATGGGAGTATGCATGGGACAACGGACTATGCAAAACATGCCTCGATCCTGACTGCGAGGGAGAAGATCGATGCCCTCACTCCCACAGGCAGTGTTATTACTGCACTCGCGTCAAAGGAATCCCTTTGGCTGACATGATCTTCATTCTGAACCATCACTCTGCCCTCTGCACAATTCCGGACAGCAAGAGACAGGCAAGGAAGAGACTCGAAGACGCACGAGAGGAACTGAAGAAGATCGACCATGCCATAGCTAGTAGACTGAAGGAGAAGAAGATGGCCGCGGCGGAGTGACGACAATGTCGTCCTACAGAGGAGTTCATTAGGAACAGATTAATTACTCGTTACTTACTATGTATTATGTATGAATCATTTTAATTACACTTATAGCTAATTGATGAGCGATTGAGGAATGTTAGCAAGAAAAGGCATTGGATGGACAAAAAGGAGATGGTATATGAGCAGCAGATGGCCAGCTGCAGACGTTTGGCGGCTCTTCACGTCTTCTGACACTTCATCCGACGAGACGGTCTCCCTATCTTCACTTAGTCACTTTGTGCCTTGCATGAGGTTGACTTGCCCCTTTCTTACTGTTCTCCATATCCTAACATTATCCTCATTCTTATGTTGTAGTTACTTTAGCTTTAACTTTGTCCTGAATTTCCCTTGACGAACATGAACTCTTATAGATATTAGAATGTGATGATCTTTCTTTAGTGCCTCTTCGTTCGCGACTGCGTCGGATCTCTCGATATATATACATTCTTTTTAATCATTAGCTTGATTTCACTTATCATATCGCTTGATGATTACATTTGATGTATATATTTGCTAGTATTTTACATAGTTTAAAATATTAGGATAAAGTTTAATTACCTAAGTTTGAGGTAGTAATCTCTAGTGGTCAAACCCGCGTGGCATACTTATCTATTTGGAGTACGTGTGAGCACCTATCTAGTGCAGAAGACTTATCCTCAGGTCCCAGGCACGATTCGACTAGCAGCAACTGAGCCCAAAACCTCTAGAAAAACTTCTGCTAAAAACTGTCAGCCGGTAGGGGTTACTCAGTGCCCCCATCACGAATGTGACGTCCGCTACTGACACCGGCGGTGTTTGACTCCGTTTGGCACCATTAGGCGTCAATTTAGTGCCACCACTTTTTCATCAAAACGCGGGTGCCAGAATGGTGCCGCGCCACCATCACTACCTTTTTTCACCAAACAACCCGGGTGCCGGAATGGTGCCGCGCCACCATCACTACCTTTTTTAACCAAACTTCAGGAAAAGTTACATACTAGGGCTTTTTGTTGGTCTGGTCACGAATATGACGTTCACTACAGCACTGGCGCCAACGAGCGCCGATTTTGTGCTATCACCTCTTCCACCGAATTTGATGGGAATCGGATACTGGGGTTGTTCGCTGTCCTTATTATTGATATGACATTCATTTTTAGCAGGAAAGTTAGCGAAGGGCACAAGGGTTATCAATGCGATGCTGAGGCTGAGTTGCCTTAGAAGGAGGGAATCACTCCTCCTCCAAGCAACAGACTTTTCAGAGCACTACGTGACGCTCGTGCCATATGGCGCTCTGAAAAGATGAAAACTAATGTCTTTTATTGTGACTGTGCTTTCCCCCCCCCCCCGATTGAACTCGAATGTAGAACAGCTGCGACTCTAGCGAAAAGAGGCGAGGCGAGTGTACATGGATCCCAGCGCCAAATGGCGCCGGTGAATAAACTATACGCACTGTTAACCCGTTACTGCCTCAGACATCAGGAAGCAATCCAACTTTTGACCAACTTTCTCTCTAGGTAGACAGACTTGGCTTAGCAGTCGTCTCCCGAGTTGGTTTGACCTTTTAAACACAAAACCTCATTGCTACCAGGAGGTTTTGAACCACCTTAATATGTCAAATCACCCCAATATGCAAGCTTACACGGGTTCTCGAGAGAAAGACCATAGTGCTAAATTAGCTTACATTGGCCCCAAATGGCACCGGCGGACAGACGAATGTCATATTTGTGACCTGTGGAATAACCCCTGCACCCGATGGTACAGTAAAAAAGGAGATTTTGGGAGCAGTAGGTTGAACAGTGTCAAAATTTCCAGTAAAAGGTCACGAGGGACCGTGTCCCTCGCAAATGCTCCGGTCCGAACGAGCCGTTTTCGAAAAACGCGCTTGGTCGCGAATAGGTTAAAGGCAATTGCCACGATACGTCCCCAAGACGAGTAGGATTAATACGCTGGCAGGACGGAATTCGCAACCCTGAGCCGGCTCTGCATAATGTGTTTTCCAAGGAAGGTGCCCTTATAAGGGCTCTATCAAGCCACAACATTCCGATCCAAACGCCCCCACGCCCGCCCGGCCTTAAATGGACGACCATTCTTGACGCTCTAATCGGTTCATTTGCTAAGCAAATTATAAATCGAAAGGATTTGTATGAAGCGGCCGCGATGCTGCATGGATATATGTGTACACATAAGCAGCCATACCTTCAGTAGAGGTTATTGGCAAGATGCCTACGGGAAACTCGTCCAAAATTGATTTTGAACACATTGAGAACGGATGCTCTTTCTTCGCAGGATTTTCACTCCGTCGCCATTTCCCCACTAGATAGCGCCCTACTAGCATTTCAGGCCGAGCACCAAATCATCGTGCCAAGTGCCTTTAATACAATCTCAGCAGTTCTCATGGTCAGATACAGCAACGACACTGAGAAATTTTCCCGCGTGTGCTGATTCAAAATACTCCCACTAACGGGGCACTATTTATCCTCCACTGAGGCCTTCCAGGTCATGGCGCGCTTTAGAAGTGGTTTGTTGCATGTTTCCGGGGTCCACACAAGCATAAATGAATTTTTTTGCTACACGTCCTGAGGACGCCAAAAAGCCTATTTTTGGCTAGCTGGCTTCGTGCGATTCATCGCTAATTTGACGCAAGGGTTTTCTCGATGTGACCGCTACGAACTCGCACACAGGGACTATTCAGGAAAAAGCGCGATATGCAAATACACACAGCCGTAG